GTCGGCTCTTTCAACTATCTGATTTGTGTCATGTATTTTTACTTACAAACTGGACTTTATTTTCAGCATATATTCATAGGAAAGAAGATCTGATACATACGACCAAGTCGTCTTCAGAAGCTCATAAGTCATTTATGAGGAACACGCAACTTCAAAAACGAAGAGTAAAACTCTTCAAGGTCTTATCATCATCTCCATCCTACACAACTATGTATACAAATGATTGGTAGATAATTACAGTGAAATCAAATCTAGATAACGTAGCGTTTAACTTACTACTAGCGATAAGGCTGGTTCATTACAAACTAAGGCGGAATTAAGTAAAAGGCTGAAGATTCCGGAACACATTTTACATTTAGAGGATCAAAGGGTAGAACTTCAAACGCAAAATCTCAGTAAATCTCTTAATTGTTGCCAATGTAGTTCATCAATGAGGAAATTTTGATAAATCTCAGGATCAATGCTGCTGCCAACAAACTTTATTAAGATATAGTATTAAACCATATTGGGAGGATCGCAGAGATGTATTGAGTCCTCTAAAGTGCTAATTTTGAATTGGAATTAAAACCCTAAAATTTTAAAGGAATTTTCTTCTCAAACCTATCAGATCAGCTCAAGGTAGTAAAGGGATAATTTAAAATCAAATGAATGTATTTAATAGGGTGTTTTATGAGGTTTTGGGGAGTATGCTACTTGTGAAAGGACTTGGCTGCACTTTAGAGTGCTTCAAAAGCGCAGGCTCTGACGGTTATGACTTAGTGATCTGATATATTCTTACAAGTGTCTCAGCATAAAGTCTTATCTTCGTCTTAAGGATAGGTTAAAATGAATGGTCCAAACTGATTTCGAAGGGCTGAATATAAAATTATTCAAATCGTATGTTGTGGGTTGTCATCATGCTCATAATGGCTTTTTAATTATCAATTGTGGTAGTATCAGATGTAGATTATGATGATAAATTCAACATTCTATGGTTAATATGTATACTCAAAGAAAACCTAGAAAAATGCATCGCCTGGAGACCAGTATCCAAAAGCCGATTTTTGTAATTAATTCTAGATAACCTCTGTTGAAAGATTTGTAGCTAAAAATGAACTTCTAAGGCAGATCGCTCTTTTGACCCAAGTTAAAGGCCCATCGATGCAGTAGCTATCAAATATCAGAATGAATAAAGCAAAATGCTGAATGCTGAATGAAGTAGGCTTCATAAATACAATATGTCCAATCAAAGAGGACAGTCCTAGTACATTCGGATGATTGAGAACTGATAGCTTTAAGTAAAAGAGAAAGAAATTTTTATTTATTTAACCAAACTGGCTAATGGAATAGGAAAGAAGCAGTTAGGTCAATATAACTTGCATTAGAAAGTAAGATACCAGCACGCTTGTAGTTCTTAGCGCGAAGATATGCGGCAACTGCTGCTTCGTTGCTACCCATTGCTTCGAAAAGGGTGGCAGCTTCTGGCCAAGCCTAAGAGGAAAAGATTTTTTAAATAAATGAATCATAAAATACTTTAAATAAGTACGACCAAGTTATTTATTCTGACACTAAGAAAGTAAATAGACAAACGCCTCTGAATCGTAGTCTATTATTTAGCAACTATCCAAACAATTTTATTCGTTATTGAGTAGGTTTTCGAGACTACCAGTTAATCAGATACATTATTAGTGCTCATCCTACTTCAGTTAAGGTGACAAAGGACTGGCAGTTGAAGTTTCCCACAATGATTTGAGTAGAACTGGCGTTTACATTGAATTTCGCGCAGCCCTGCTTTTCCAAAAGATATTCTCATCCAGAGTGGACTGCAATTTCGACCTCACCTAGGTCAACAAGCCACACAGTCAGGTTTTGACTTCCGTTGAGGGTGTTGATAAGAGCTACGTGAGGCCGAAAATGCAGTCCATCCTGGATGAGAACACCTTCTGGGAAAGCAAGGCTATGTGAAAGTAAAATGGAAACGTCAGCTTTACTGAGATCATTGGTGAAAAATTAAGTTAACAGAGTGAATACAATTCATTAATAATTTTGGCCATTGAAGACTCAAGTTTGCACTGAACTGATTTTGATTAACTTCAATTCCCCTTACTGAGTTAGAATATAATCGAGTAATTTCCATGTATAATACGCTATTTTATAGGACACGAATAAAATGGAATAAAGGTAGGAATCGCTGATAGGGTACTATTCTAGAAAAGTTTAATAAAATATTTATAGAAGTTAAAATAAAAACTAATAGAGGCCCATATTCTCATCATACTTAAACATCGCTGATTTCAAATACTTTTCTAACTTTTAGAATTAGAGGCATAGTTAGGCAAAGATAAAAAGACGGATTGATGAAGGCCAAAGTTTTACACCAAATATTGTTTTAAATTTTAGACAATCTCAAAAAATACGTGAACGTAAAAAGTTTATGGAAGTTATTGGACCTTGCTGTTAATATGACCAAGTTGCGAAAATAAGATCAAACCTTTGTATAACACGAAAGAAGACCGTGACCATACTAGTTTGATATTCATACGTTTGATTAAATTAGTTACTTTATACTTTTATTAAACAAGGCCACAACAAGCATAACCTTTAAAAAATAGCAACTTATTTATTGGAGATTCGGACATAAAGATGAAATGTTTGAGACATACCTTGTTTTCTTCAAGAATTGCTGCGCATTCCTTTAGTAATGACGGATTTCCACTTTGTTTGGCCAGCGTCATACCTCTAAAGTAATAGAATAAAGAAAAAACCTTAATATATAAATTAAATATGTTAATTTATTGATATGAAGAGAAACTGGGTTTCGATGCATCTCCTGAGATAGCATTGTTGGAGGGACTTTCATTTCGTATGAAAGTGCATGAAGAAGAGATTCGTAAGTTGATCTCACCAGAAGAGGACGGATGAATCACGTTGTAACGTTCTCTCGGTCATTAGGCCTTGATGATCAGAGCCTGACATTAGCCTCTTGATAACTCTGATTTAGGACCGGTATTGAGCATAGACGCTAACACACACGGACACACTCGAACAAAAGTAGCAGGACCAGTATGAAAGATAATTAGCCAAACCACTCTATATCAATCTATCTAGGTTTTTAATTTTCCTTTGGCCTAATTTAGTCTATATAAGAGATAAGATACAGCCGTATAGTGTTCTTGGCCTAGTGTTAACGTGAGACTTTTACAAGAATAACACCCAGCTCTGATGATGTCCATCATATGATGGACGAAAGTTCAGTCCGTTTTCATCCGAAATGAGGGAGGAAATCTCATGGACTGCGTCAACATGAACATCGTATAAAAGCTAAACGGCTGCAGTACAACGGGATTCATCCGTCTTCTTCTGGTGCGATCGACCTACGAATCTTTTCTTCATGCATTTTCATACGAAATGAAAGTCCCCCCAACACATTTCATTTAGACCTGATTCTCGAATGGTATTTTCATTCAGGGTAGTCTGCAATTTTACTTTAACAAAGCATCCTCAATGAACTTCAAATTCGGTCTTCAAAATTACGTCTGTCTTGTGACTCATTGGCACCCGTGGCCTTGTGGTGTAGTGATAACACCTGGTTTTTATTCCCCTCGAAATTGCTGATGAGACCCAGTCTAGGTCAAAACATCAGTCAAGCCTGGATAAGAATCTTTTTTAGGAGGCAACATAATATTAATTTCAATGGCATTATGAGGTCTACTCAAATAATTGTGAGCAAATTCAACTATCATTTATTCATCATTTTATGTAAGCTAGGCTGAATAAATTTTCCAATTTATTAGTCTTACTTTACAGAAGGCTTACTAGCCATCGAAGCTATAATCTAACCGAATTTTATTTGGCTACTATTAAACTAGATGGTAGGTATATTACGCCAGATTATTTAATCTTTTGTTAACCACCATATTCTCAGGTCTAATAGTGAGATAAGGACAAGATAAATTTGAAAAATATAATTAGGTCCAAAATCTCACCAGCTTCTTTTGTGTCCTAGTTTCCCAAAAATTTCTAAACTGATAGAAACAATTTAATTCAGATTGATTAGGCATCGAAACTATTGGAAGATTTTGATTAAGAACCGTATTTACCCTATGTCACATAAGGTGATGAAGCCCTGATAATCGAAATATTCCTCTGTGCTGTGAGTGGGCCTCCTGAGTTGATTGCATTTCTCTTGGCTTTATTTCCTAGAAGATATTCTCACCAAGCAAGGACCGCAGTTTCTACCTCCCCAAGTTATCATTATCACTCCCAAGGGGAATCGAAGTCAGATGATTCAGCATACAGTTTAAACATGCTACCATAACACCATATTGCAAAGGATACCAGTGAGTCACAGGGCGGATGTGAAGTTTAAGGCTAGCCAGGCCTCTCTAATATGATATTTTGTAGTGTGATTGTCAATGAGATAAACTTGTATTTGTTATTAAAAACAGCTACACCACTTATATTTCAACTGATCAGCCATAAATTGTATTATATTTTTAAGTTTTTATTGTCCAAGTAAGCCTCAACGAATAGGAGACAGAAAGCTTTTGCCAGCACTACCTATAGGCATAAAAATGCATACTCGAAAAATATTTAATATTTAAAAGCAGAGATGATATACAATAAAATAATAAATAGGATGATGTTCTAGCACACCTTTTGATGTCGCCTAATCGTAAAGCTGTTCTGGCAATGCCGGAATATGTTTCTGTTATATGCGTTTCTGCTTTGCTTGAGTCCCCAATAAAGTTGTGCCGTGCGTCGGAGTACATGTCCATTGCGACCGGTCCTTCCATGGGTTCAATCGGCCTAGTTTCTAACTGGGCAGCAAGCTCAGCAATCTTATCATCTGTTAATGTTTTATCATTATTTACATTATCAGTAGATAGCGGTTGTGAGGACGTTTCTAGAGAGGTACACGAAAGCAAAGAAAAA